GAGAATATAAGATCTGATAACAGACTGCAAACATACTGCAGCAGCCCCTATATAAGAGTTGCAAGGTGGACGCCCTTTCGGTGGGGTGTTGATGTGGGCGGCGGTGGCCGTGATGGCAATGGTACTAATGGCTGTGGGTGGTGTTAGGAGTGGTTGGGTGTGAATGGAGAGGGGCGTGGTGATGCGGAGGGCCAGTTATCGTCATTTGCATAGTCGGGAATGGTGACTGTCACGTCCTGTTTATCATTATTGCCTCAAGTCTCAACGACATCACTTTTCCCTCTTCTACCTCCGTAAAATCCCGTTCTGAAGTAAAAGAGTATTGATTATTCGAGCGGTGCACTTTAACTCTATTTCTCGTAGGAGTAAGTTAAACTATTATTTTTCATCAAAACCATTGTTTATTTTATGGAAATATAACAACTTATAGTTAGACGAATAATCATATTTCCATGCATTTGTTCCGTAATTTCAAAAAAAAAAAAAAATTAACTGCCTCGTGCAAGTTAATCTATTTTGCAACTCCACTTGCAATTTTGGAGTTAAGCGGTTTATGAGCCAGCTTGATCGAGTTATCTAAAGGCTTCTCGTAAGTTTTCGCTGAAATGTTTAAAATCTAGGTTCTCCGATGCTTGGATCTTACGCTAAGTCTTGTACTTTGGAGAGGGAATGTTAAATGTAGTAGTTAATCAGCAACAGCAAAACTATGTGTCTATTTGTTAAGAATGTTTATGTCTGTGGCTTTTCATGACTAACATAGATAACATATTCAACCGAGCAAATGGTAGACGACTTATCATGTAAATGTAAATTTGGATATTTCACAGTAGTTTTATATAAACGTTTTTTTTTTTATCCCCGAGTCCCTTTTTCCTATTCCTCAAACGGAACGGGATATCCGACGCCTCCAGTTCCTCCTCGTTGGATTAGCAACACAGACAGCCCTCTTCTCAGATAATCCAGAGTGATTGGTTGTCAGCTGAAGGTATAAGAAGGTACTTGCTCGCTCCCCCACTGAACTGAACGCCTCCTGCTGGGCCCAAGGGAGATCTATCAGTTCGACACAAGAGGCAGATGTAGATCCTGCGCCTTGGGACTCGACTTCCTTTTGATGACCTTCAGAATGGTGTTGTAACCGGGTCCCTTCTTAACAATATAGAGAGGAAACTGCCGTGCCTTCGTCTGATGTCAATTGCATACCACTAAGGCTATATTCAAACTTTAGGCTCATGGTATCTAAATAGGCAATTTGTCTTAGGAATTGAAGTGCAGTAGGAAATGTTATTCCAGTTAAAATCGAATAGGCCTACGTAGCTATGGAAGGAAGAATGTAGCACATGTTTTGTGAGAATTGGTACCAAATTTCTTCTTCTTCTTCTTCTTCTTCTTTCTCTTTCTTATGTCTCTCAGTCTGTGTGCCATTCTCTGCTGTTTCCTTGATGATGGAAATTCATTCCTTATGGAATCATATAGAAAGTGAAAAAACATTTAACTTTCTTCATCTGTAAATGTAACAACG